ATAGAATTCATCGGTATTATGAACGCTACTTGCATATGATCAACTTGGCTTATAACTTATTCAGCAAAAATTACACCGCAACATTTCTTATTCGGCACATTCTTTGACGTTTGCAATATCATTCCGCAGCAATGTGCGGTAACTTTGTTACTTATTCGGCACTAATATCTCGGCATAGAACTAGCATCTCGGCTTGCCAAAATCCACATCTGAACATACCACAGGATTCGTATCGGCTCAAAGAGTCCAAACCCACCAACCCGAGAAGTCCAGAAGTAACCAAAGTATGCCAAAAATTGTGATACGGCTCACATTTTTCGACAACTGAAATTTTCAAAGCTGTCAAACTCAAGTTTTGCCCATACCAACGTGAAGTACTCATTGAGACGAGTCCAACGCAACAAACCGCGTCAAAATTGGAGCTCAAACGAAGCCGTACGGGACGCTCAAAGTTTGCCCAGAAAAATGAGTTCTTTCTCTAGAGAAGTCGATCCAACAAGACATAAAGAAATGATCATGTGCTTCGCGGTTGCATTACACCCTATAGATTTGAGCCGTTAGATCCATTTTGGCTATAATTACGCCATCAGGACTCTGATCACAGCGATCCCATAGTCATTTCCATCTATCTGACACATTCTGGGTCCATCTGTACAGTCAGAATTTGCAAATGCAGCTCAAAAAATAATAATAATAATAATAAATAAATAAATAATTGCAGATTTTATTCAAAATTTGAGCACAATGACTCACTTCGCATATCACCAAGCACCCTACTCTGCCTTGGCTTCATTCCGATTTCGCCACGGCACCGAACAAGGGCACGGAATCCGTTTCAAATTGTTATCGGCCTACTCGGCAATTTTGTCCCAAGTCAATTTTATTCCTTCCGAATAACCGATCTTATTCAAAAGGAATGGGGAAAATATACGTTGGACAAGAATCTCAACTTCAATAAATTGGCAACCATTGCCAACCAAGTTTTTAGCAAATCCAACTCCAAAGTGATGTCGACACACCGCGAAGCTAAAAAAAATCGACGACCAAAAGATCAGCACAATCACCGACCCAAGTGTAGCTGACCAACTTTTCGGCAATATCACATTATATATGAAACGGACACCGATGTTTTGACACTAGTTACTCGGCAGTGCATCAAATTTACTCGGCAAGATTATTCGGCACCATCATTAATTCAACACTCATAATTCGGCCATGCATCAACTTTATTCGCCTAACAACATCATTTGGTAAAACAATTGCCCACTGGGACATCGTAGTCAATTTTTTGCTTTCCAATTGGGGCACATCATCCGATCATTATCTCGGTACCTTTGATATGCATTCATACTCGGCTAACTTGGTACAAACATTACAACGACATTTACTTGAGTTACACACTCGCGCTCCTTTTCACACCGCTCCAAGCAAGCGCCAATTTTGGGGCAATACATTACACTTGGCATTCGGCCGTTAGCACTTGGCAGTTGGCAATTCGCATTTGACAGCAGTTCGTACGTTGTTGTGCGCTGTCATTTTACCAAAGCCGAATCTTCCCTGCAACATAGGGCAATGGGAATCTGTATTCCTTCCGACTAACACCTGTCATTCGAAAGTAATGGGGCAAGTCTACCTTGGACTAAACGCAAACCGAGTAACTCGGCAATTAAATAGTTGGCCCAATATCTACTTGGCAATTCCATATAAGCAGAGCAATATTATTGGTGATTAAAACGTCCACCTTATTCGGTACAAGATGCATTATTCAAAGTCCTTGCCATATTGGCACTCGGTCGCCACTTAAAATCAATAAAAGTCTTCGAGTACAGCGTAATCTTTGCACTTGACACGGAGCGCCATCAGCAAAAGCCTACACCCATGCCTGGGGGTTAGAATACCGCGGCCTATACCTACGCCTGGAGGTTAGAATACTGCGGCCTATACCTACGCCTGGAGGTTAGAATACTGCGGCCTACACCTACGCCCGGAGGTTAGAATACTGCGGCCTACACCCATACCCGGGGGTTAGAATACCGCGGCGTACACCTATGCCCGGAGGTTAGAATATCGCGGCCTACACCTTCACTCGGGGGTAATACCGCAGGTCTACTCCTTCACCCGGGGGTAATAATACCGTGGTTCATTTTTTGGCTGATATATCTACCTTATTTAATCTGTCTTATTTGGTTCAGGCAATCATTTTTGTGCTCGGCATATGGAAATATTTCTAGCTCGGCACGAAAGTCCATATTTGGAAGCAATCTTTGCACTCGACAATATACTACACCCTTGTCCGGGGTTATAATACCGCGGCCTACACCCTTCCCCGGGGGTTATAATACCGTGGCCCATCGTTATAGAGATAGTATTACTCACTGGGTTTTAGCTCACCCCCCTTATCCTATGATCGACACATATACATTTATATATACATTCAAGACATACATACATTTATACATACATTCAAGCATACATCCAGTCATTGATTCATACATTTTATTCATTTATCCAAAGTGTTCTTTATCAAAAAATCTAACAGCTATTTGAACAGCGAAACTTGGCAAGAAAAAACTCTCATTCCTTCTATCGTAGACAATGAAAGTTTTGGGGCAATTGTGGGAGCCAGAAAATTATAGGTACTAGCTTATTGGGCCTAACCCAAACAAAGTCTACAATGGGTCCAGTCCAAACAAATATCATACTCCCCATCTATATAAATAGGGGCCATCCCAAGTGGAAGGTATGTCTCATCTCCCTCCACAGAACACACACCCCTTCTAATATATATATATACTATTTACTTCTTGATTCAGGGACTAACTTCATCATCGGAGTACTCCTGGCCGGCAACCCCGATTGGGTGGCACCGACTATGTTTATCATTGCAGATCTACTGGGGTGAAGCTCTTCTCTTCGTTGGATCTCTACAACATCCATGTGAGAGGATATTTCATGGTCTCACATTAAGTATCTTCTTGATAGCTCTGTTGAACTCCTTAAGGCTCGCCTGGTTGCCAAGGGATATACCTAAACCTATGGTGTGGACTATGTTGAAACATTTTCTCTAGTGGCTCGTCTCAATTCTGTTTGGATTCTACTCTCTGTTGCATCAGTTGTTCTTGGCCATTATATCAACTGGATACTAAAAATGCCTTACTCTATGGCGATTTGCAAGAGGAGGTCTATATGGATGAATCCCTTGGTTATGTTGTGCCTGGTACTGAGCACCTTGTCTGTCGCCTGCAAAAGGTGTTGTATGGCTTGAAACAATCTTCTCGTGCTTGGCTTGACTTCTTCAGTGCTATTGTGTTTGCCTATGAGTTTAAGTGATCCACTTCTGATCATTTCGTCTTTGTACACCAATCATCTACTAGCTTTGTCATCTTGATTGTTTATTTGGATGATATTATTATTTTTGGTAGTGACTCTACTGGGACCGCTGGTTTGAAATACTATTTGAGCCAACAGTTGCATACTATGGACTTGGGGACTCTTTGGTATTTTCTTGGGATTGAGGTTGCACGTTCTTCCTAAGGTCTGTTTCTCTCAATGAAAGTATGGGTTTGATCTTCTCTTTGAGACTGCCCTTTTGGGTTCCCACCCTATTGATACTACTATGGACTCATCTGCCAAACTTGATGGTGAGCATGGGTGAGGCCTTCTCCGATGTTGGTCATTATCGTCGTTTGGTTGGAAAATTGATTTATCTTACTGTTACCCGTTAAGATATTACTTATGATGTGAGTGTGGTAAGTCAGTTTATGCATGATACTCGCCATCCTCATTTTGATGTCGTATGTCATATTTTGCGTTACCTGAAGAGTGCTCCCAGCCGCGGCTTGTTCTATCGTCCTTCTTCTTCTTTGTTTGTTACCGGCTTCAGTGATGCTGATTGGGCTGGTAATCAAATTGAGCGTCATTCTACTTCTGACTATTGTACATTTGTTGGTGATAACCTCGTTACATGGCGTAGCAAAATGCAAAATGTTGTTGCTTGCCCTAATGCCGAGGCTGAGTATCATGCAATGGCATATATTGCTTCTGAGATGCTCTAGGTTTGCTCTCTACTCCAAGATTTTGGCCTTCTTATTCCTACTCCTATGCACATGTGGTGTAACAATCTGGTTGTTATCTTTATTACTAATAATCCAGTGTTTCATGAATGCACCAAGCATATTGAGGTTGACTGCCACTTCATTCGGGATTTATTATTGCAGAAGCAGTTTGTGACTCCCTATGTTTGCTCTGATGATCAGTTGGGTGATATTCATACTAAGCCGTTGGGTCGCCCTTCCTTTGACTGCCTGTTTGCCAAGCTGGGCATGTTCAATCTCTATGCTCCAGCTTGAGGTGGAGTGTTAGAATAGTCGTGTGTGTTCCGTGTAATTTAATTCTATATTGAGGGGTACTATTGTCATATTGCTATATTATGTTTAATATAAATAAACATTGAGGTATAGGGTTGATTTGAAAAAAAACTTGAAACCTATTAGCCGTATTCTTCTTTCTCTCTCTCTCTCTCTCTCTCTCTCTCTCTCTAACCCTAATTTCTACATACTTTATACTTTAACTCCCAATAATGGTTTTACTTTTATAGGAGATGAAAGGACTAATAAAATGTTGCAAATAAAATTCCTAAAACAAGCCTTTTTTTCCTTTAAATCATCCAAGTTATTGGGCTGCTGAGGTGATAGCAGTTGTTAGTCAGGAGAGAGATTATCTGAGTCCAGATTCCTCCATTTCTCTTATTATTTTCGTTCCTCATCAAATGATAATTTTTCTTTTAATGTGTTAACATTTTCTCGTCCTTTTATCTCTTCTCCCTAAATGGAAGTATCTTTGTATTGCAATTAGAACATGTTTTGTGTCATAGCAGTTTTCTGACTTATGATTGTAAATTGTTACCCATTGTGGTTATCTAATGTTTCCCTTCCTTTATTTCCAGATACTGTGAACAGCTCATCCAATTTACATTGTTTTTATCCTTTGGTGGTATGCAGGTTTCATCATTTGCTGATATGGAAGGAGAGGAAACATTTGATTCATCACTTCTTGGACATGCAGATGAAGTAGTTGAGGAGTGCATTGCTGATGATGACGTGATCATGATAAATGGGACAAAAATATACACTTAGGTCATGTTTGATTCACAAAATTAATAGTGAAGTATTAATAATCCTATTAAATTAGTGTGGTATTCACTATTCAATTGGATTAATATCCATTGGATTAATAATCTCACCCCTACCCCATTACTAATAATCCTACAAATTTGTTGGATTAATTATCCATTGGATTAATAATCCTAAACCAAAATGTTAAAACAAACATAGGATAATTGGGCCCACGGATTAATAATCCCAATCACATACTCTAATCCACCTAATCAAACATGCCCTTAAATTATTTCATTTTTTTATATAGCATCTCATGTCAGTTTATGTCTTCCACTCGCCATAACTTTTTTATTTGTAGCGATCATAAACGATGGTGTTGGCAATGTGGGGTGCAAAATTCTCCCCATCCAATTTTCACTTTTTATTTCTCATTTTCCATATTGACCTCGGGATAATGAAAGGGATTATTTTCCTATTGCATGAAATCCTTGGTTGTTGCAACCCAAATGTGGGGATGATCATCTGCTGCCACCTTTAAAGTTTGGCATGACTGAAGGCATGTCAAATATTTTGAGAATGTGAGCTCAAAACTAGTGCAAGTGATCCACTTGCTTTCCCATAGAAAGTAAGCAATGACTCGGGATGATCCATCCAGCACTCAAGTTGTGGTTGTCAATATCATTTTGGACGCCACCTATTAAACATATCTAGACCCCGATCCCTTGCTTTTGACCAATTATATGTGAGATTCTAATGACAGCACGTGTAATCCATGTAATGTGATGTGGTTCCGTTGATGATTCTTTATTTCTTAAACTATTTCTATGTGCTTTTTTATGAATGCATACCCAATGTTAGAATAGTCGTGTGTTTCGTGTAATTTAATTCTATATTGAGGGGTATTATTGTCATATTGCTATATTATGTTTAATATAAATAAACATTGGGGTGACTCTATTTACACACCATATTTGGTCTTAAGGCACCCCATTACTTAGGTCACACATTTAATAATTTGAAAAAACATACACCTTGTTTGGTTCTGATTTTCAGAAAATAGATTTTCAAAAAATTTTACCCTTTTATTTTCTGTATTTTAATATTTTCAATGAATTTTTTTAATGTTTTAATCAATTTTTTTTTAATTTTTAGACACACCTAATATAAATATACTTAAAAAGTATAATATTTATGAAAAAAATATTTAAAAAATACACTAAATACAAAAAAATACAAAAAAAAATGAAAATTCAATACAATTTTCGTATTTTTTGTATATTTTTAAATTTTTAAAAATATTTTTCACAAATATTATACTTTTTAAGTGTATTTATGTTAGGTGTGTCTAAAAATTTTAAAAAAAATTGCTAAAACATTAAAAAAAAATTATCGAAAACATTAAAATACGAAAAATAAAAAAATAGAATTTTCTGAAAATCAGAACCAAACAAGTTATATGTTTTTTTAAATTATTAAAGGTGTGAACTGAGTAGTGGTGTGCCTTGAGACTAGATGTGGTGCGTAAATAGAGGCACCCTAAACATTGAGGTGTTGGGTTGACTTTAAAAAAACCTGGAACCTGTTAGCCGTATTCTTCTCTTCTCTCTCTCTCTCTCTCTCTCTATAAGCCTGTGTTTGGCAAGGGCTTTTTTAGGCTTTTTTGGCTATTTTAGCCACAAAAAACAAAATAGGCTATTTTAGCCATAACAAACAAAACATCACATCCAACCTATAATCATTACATTCTTCTCTCACAAAAAAAGTCAAAAAAGCCAAAAAGCCAAAAAGCCCTTCCCAAACCAAGCTTTTTAGCCCAGGCTAAAATAGCCAAAAAAGCAAAAAAGCCAAAAAGCCAACCCACTTCCCAAACGGAGGCTAAGGCGATTCTACTCAAGCAAGCATTCAATAGACTCTAGAGATCATTCTCAGGTGACGGTGGCGTGCTGACATCATCATCCGTACGATGATGTCAGCGTGATGTCAAGTTCGTACGGAACGTCGCGATCCAGAAAACACACGGTCCGACTCGTTTTTGCCTCCTAGTACTTATGGTGATTTTTACAAAATTAATCAAAGCCATTTGATATGAGTTTGTGATTTTTTAACGATTTTCAGACAAGTTTTGGCCAATTTTGTTCGAATCAAGATTTGGGCCTTTTCTTCTATTTTTGGTTGTTGGAATCTCTTTCCTAGGAGCTGACTAGACCTTCTTAGGTCTCCTTTGGTGTTTGTTTGATGATTTGAGGTCCTGGGTAGTATATTTGGTCCCATTGGTGCCTTGATCAACTTGCTGCTCTTGTTCGGCACTCTCCAACAGTGCTGAAACTGTTCTGTGTGTGATTCTGGCACCTCATATTGCTGCTGTGGCTGATTGTTTGGGTCTTCTTGATTGATTCCTATTTGAGTTATTGTTTTGTGCCTCATATTCCTGTTAAGGCAGTGCTGGAATTGTGTTTTTTTGGTTGGTTTGTTGCCACAATCTAAGTCTCATGGCTGAAGACAAACCTTAAGGCTGAGCACACACCTCATTGGTTAAGGATGATGATTTGCCCAAGTCTATTACTACAAAGAAATTGAATGGCATGAATTATCTTGCATGGGCTCATGTAGTTAAAGTTTTTTTGTGTGGAAAGAAAAAACTGCGTTTCATTACTGTTCTTCCTGCATCTGATGATGATCCAACCTTTGATGATTGGTCTAGTGAGGATTCTGGTGTTATAAGCTGGCTTTGACATAGTTTGGAACCTAACATGGCCACCACCATTGAGTTTTGTGAAACATCTAAGGAGATTTGGGACTCTCTAGTTGACTCTTTTTCACAACAGAATAATGTTTCTTGTGTATTTGAGCTGTTTTTTTTTTTTTTTTTTTGGTACACGGTATGAGCTGTCTTGGTCTTCTAGTAACGACAATGGGACAACACAATGAAGTTCGAATAGAGGGATGCTGTTGTGCCTTTGGGCATAACAGCCTGTTGTGAGGGCTCGTGGAAGTTATCCCAAGCATATTTTGATAATCCAAACTATTCATATTGTAGGGTTCGTTAAATAAATTATTCATACCAAAAAAAAAAAATTAAAACCATGTTAATTGGATATATGTAGCCCTACAACAAATGCACATTTAAAAAAAAAAAAAAAAAAACGTTAAGTTATAAAACCTATGGTGTAAGGTTTTAGATTCAATTTTTATAAAAAATAACTTAACTCTTTGTGAAAGTCTATTGATCTCCCATTATGATGGTTATATCGGGTTTGGACTAGTTGATTTATTGACTGTTAAGCTTTGTTAACAATATAATTATTGCGGACTAGTGATATATTTTATAGTTTTGCAACAGAGCTCTAATTAGAGTTGCTCCAAAACAGCTCTAATGAGCTAGCACCACATATAAAATTAAAAAAAAAAAAATAGTGAGATAAAAGACAAAACATGAGGGAAAAAAAGACAAATTAGTACTCCATTAGAGTTCTCTTTTTAAAAGTCTCACTCATTTTTCTATATTTTGTGATGAAAATAATTATTATATTTGTAATTACTCTCCTATCCATCTAAATAAATAAATCAATTCTCTTTCAATTCATTATTTCATTCCAAATTTTTCTCCATCCTTTTATTTATTTATTTTTAATTTAAATTAAATTAAATTAAATTTATTTATTTTGAATTGCAACTGCTTTAGCCTCCGTTTGGCAAGAGCTTTTTCAGGCTTTTTTGGCTATTTTAGCCACAAAAAACAAAATAGGCTATTTTAGCCATAACAAACAAAACATCACATCCAACCTATAATCATTACATTCTTCTCTCACAAAAAAAGTCAAAAAAGCCAAAAAGCCAAAAAGCCCTTCCCAAACCAAGCTTTTTAGCCCAGGCTAAAATAGCCAAAAAAGCAAAAAAGCCAAAAAGCCAACCCACTTCCCAAACGGAGGCTAAGGCGATTCTACTCAAGCAAGCATTCAATAGACTCTAGAGATCATTCTCAGGTGACGGTGGCGTGCTGACATCATCATCCGTACGATGATGTCAGCGTGATGTCAAGTTCGTACGGAACGTCGCGATCCAGAAAACACACGGTCCGACTCGTTTTTGCCTCCTAGTACTTATGGTGATTTTTACAAAATTAATCAAAGCCATTTGATATGAGTTTGTGATTTTTTAACGATTTTCAGACAAGTTTTGGCCAATTTTGTTCGAATCAAGATTTGGGCCTTTTCTTCTATTTTTGGTTGTTGGAATCTCTTTCCTAGGAGCTGACTAGACCTTCTTAGGTCTCCTTTGGTGTTTGTTTGATGATTTGAGGTCCTGGGTAGTATATTTGGTCCCATTGGTGCCTTGATCAACTTGCTGCTCTTGTTCGGCACTCTCCAACAGTGCTGAAACTGTTCTGTGTGTGATTCTGGCACCTCATATTGCTGCTGTGGCTGATTGTTTGGGTCTTCTTGATTGATTCCTATTTGAGTTATTGTTTTGTGCCTCATATTCCTGTTAAGGCAGTGCTGGAATTGTGTTTTTTTGGTTGGTTTGTTGCCACAATCTAAGTCTCATGGCTGAAGACAAACCTTAAGGCTGAGCACACACCTCATTGGTTAAGGATGATGATTTGCCCAAGTCTATTACTACAAAGAAATTGAATGGCATGAATTATCTTGCATGGGCTCATGTAGTTAAAGTTTTTTTGTGTGGAAAGAAAAAACTGCGTTTCATTACTGTTCTTCCTGCATCTGATGATGATCCAACCTTTGATGATTGGTCTAGTGAGGATTCTGGTGTTATAAGCTGGCTTTGACATAGTTTGGAACCTAACATGGCCACCACCGTTGAGTTTTGTGAAACATCTAAGGAAATTTGGGACTCTCTAGTTGACTCTTTTTCACAGCAGAATAATGTTTCTTGTGTGTTTAAGCTGTATGAGCAGATTTTTGCTACTAAGCAGTCCGGTCGTCCACCTTTGAGAATGATAGTGGTCTTAAGCATTTGTGGGATCAGTTGTTTCAGCATTCCCCTTTACTATGGATTTGACCCAGCAAAAGCGGAATTGGGAGGAATTTATGATTGCATTCTCGCTTACTGGCTTAGATTCCAATTTGCTTGGGTTCAAGGATCAAATTCTGGCCAGTAAGACCTTGCCATTGGTTGCTAATGCCTATTCCCACTTGTTACGTCTTCATTGGGCCAACATTTTGTTTCGTCTAACCCCACCACTCACTTAGGTCCCTCTTCTACTATGGTTTCTGGTAGTGGTAATGGGTCTCGTGGCAACTATGGTTCTTGTGGCTCACATCCTAGTTCTCGTGGTCATAATTCTCGTGGTGGTGGCTGATGATGATATATATTTTTTTATTTTATAATAAATATAATATAATTTATGAAATATTTATAATGTATTATTTAGACTAATTTATGTATAAACACTAAAATATATACAAATACATAAAATCATACAATAATACAAATAAAGAAACTAATAAAGTGTATATTAAGGGATTAAATGTGTAACATTTAGGCACCAATCAGTGGCTCTCGTAATGGTGGCACCCGTGGGGTTTCTTCTCGTGGTAGTATTTCTCATGGTAACCAGAAATGTGATCATTGTGGCTCTACTGGTCATACTGAGCCTTGGTGTTGGCAGAAGCATGGTAAGCCAGACCATGTGCGCCAGGTTACTGATGTTGCTCGTTCCTCTGACCATATTACTCCCACTACTTCGTTTGATTCTTACGAGGCACTAACTACTCAGCTTAATGAGCTAACTGCACTCCTTTGGTCTACTCTTCCTTCATCTTCCATTGCTACCATGGCAAGTTTAGGTAAATATTGCCTGTGTGGCTCAATCTCCTCAACCTTGACTCCCACTACTCTATCTTTACCTTCGAGTCTCTACGTCCCTAATTTTCCCTTTAATTTGTTGTCCGTTAGTCAATTAACCAAAGTTCTCCATTGTTCCATAACATTTTCTCCTACTACTTGTATTTTGCAGGACCTCAAGACCAAGAGAATGGTTGGTTTGGGGCATAAAAAGCAGGGCTAATATTATTTGGATACTGATCGCACCTATGTTCACCAATTCTCTGTTTTGAGTGCTACTATCTCTCTTCTGTAGTGGCATTTCCATTTGGGTCATTCATCGCTATCTAAGCTTAAGCTGGCTATTCCTGGTTTTGAGTCATGCGTCTACATTCAAGTGTGAAGCTTGTTAACTTGGAAAGCATCATCGTAGTTCATTTCCTAGTCGTAGTGTTAGTCGCAAGTCTGAGTCTTTTGATGTAATCTACACGGACATCTGGGGTCCTTCCCATACTTCAAGGGTCCTTCTCGTACTTCAGGGGTCCTTCCCGCACTTCTACACTTAATGATTTTTTTTTACTTTGTTATTTTTTGGATGACTTTTCTAGGATGACTTAGTTGTTTTCAATGCGTCAAAGCTCTGAGTTGCCTTCCATATTGTCTAAGTTTTATAATAAAATACATACTTAGTTTGGTAAACATATTAAAGTGTTTCGCTTTGATAATGCCTTAGAGTATATTCAGTCTGTTATTACTTCTTTTTGTGCTAATCATGGTATTATTCATGAGACTTCTTGTGCTCATACGGTGTTGCTCGTACTTTGTTATTTAACATGCACGTCCCCAAACATTTCTGGGGTGATGTTGTGTTTACTGCGTGCTCGCTCATTAACCGCATGCCATCTGTTGTTTTACATAATCAGTCACCTTTTTCCGTGTTATATCCTACATGTTCCCTGTTCCCACTTCCTCCTCGTGTCTTTGGTTGCGTAGCCTTTGCTCATGTTCTTGATCCTGGTCAAGATAAGTTGTCTCTACGTGCTCGCAAGTATGTGTTTTTAGGTTATGCTCATACCCAAAAAGGTTATCGTTGTTGTCATCCCGAGTCTCGTTGGCATTTTATCAGTGCTAATGTCACCTTCTTTGAGTATACACCATTCTTTTCTTCTCATGGTCAAGAATTGTCTCCTGACCTTGTCTCTTGTCGTGAGGGAGAGCCTTCCTTTTCCACTCCAACGCCTACTTTTCCTATATGGGATGTGTCCTCATCTACTGTTCCTGTGTCGAATATGTCCTCCTCTTCTTCCTCTCGCCCTCCCACTCTAGCTCCACTTTATCTCCATTGCTGGTTTACCAACAATCCCAAGCTCGACGCGTTGTTACTTATGGCCCGACCTGTTCATCTTCTTCGTCAAAGGTTCTTGCATCCCCCTCTCCTCCTGCCTTTATTGATTTGCCTATTGCTTTACATCGAGGTAAACGTGCTTGTACTCAACATCCTATTTCTACAATTGTTTTTTATACTCGTGTTTCTCCTATTTTTCTTTCCTTTGCTTGTAGCTTGTCTTCTCTTTCTGTCCCTACCTCTTATCAGCAGGCCTTGTCTATTCTTAGCTGGAAACATACTATGGATGAGAAAATGAGTGCTTCTCATCAGAATCAAACATGGGAGCTCACTACCCTTCCTCATAGGAAGCCTATTGTTGGGTGTCGTTGGATTTATATAGTTAAGTATCTTCCTGATAGCTCTGTTGAACGCCTTAAGGCTCGCCTGGTTGCCAAGGGATATACCTAAACCTATGGTGTGGACTATCTTGAAACATTTTCTCCAGTGGCTTGTCTCAATTCTATTTGGATTCTACTCTCTGTTGCATCAGTTGTTCTTGGCCATTATATCAACTGGATACTAAAAATGCCTTACTTCATGGCGATTTGCAAGAGGAGGTCTATATGAATGAATCCCTTGGTTATGTTGTGCCTGGTACTGAGCACCTTGTCTGTCGCCTGCAAAAGGTGTTGTATGGCTTGAAATAATCTTCTCGTCCTTGGCTTGACTCCTTCAATGCTGTTGTGTTTGCCTATGGGTTTAAGTGATCCACTTCTGATCATTCCGTCTTTGTACACCAATCGTCTACTAGCCTTGTCATCTTGATTGTTTATGTGGATGATATTATTATTTCTGGTAGTGAATCTAGTGGGATCGCTGATTTGAAATACTATTTGAGCCAATAGTTGCATACTAAGGACTTGGGGACTCTTCGGTATTTTCTTGGGACTGAGGTTGCACGTTCTTCCTAAGGTCTGTTTCTCTCAATGAAAGTATGTGCTTGATCTTTTCTTTGAGACTGGCCTTTTGGGTTCCCACCCTATTGATACTACTATGGACTCATCTGCCAAACTTGATGGTGAGCATGGGTGAGGCCTTCTCCGATGTTGGTCGTTATCGTCGTTTAGTTGAAAATTTGATTTATCTTACTGTTACTCGTTAAGATATTACCTATGATGTGAGTGTGGTAAGTCAGTTTATGCATGATACTCGCCATCCTCATTTTGATGCTGTATGTCGTATTTTGCGTTACCTGAAGAGTGCTCCCAGCCGCGGCTTGTTCTATCATCCTTCTTCTTCTTTGTTTGTTACCGACTTCAGTGATGCTAATTGGGCTGGTAATTGAATTGAGCGTCGTTCTACTTCTGACTGTTGTACATTTGTTGGTGATAACCTTGTTACATGGCGTAGCAAGAAGCAAAATGTTGTTGCTCGCCCTAATGCCGAGGCTGAGTATCATGCAGTGGCATATATTGCTTCTGAGATGCTCTAGGTTCGCTCTTTACTCCAAGATTTTGGCCTTCTTATTCCTACTCTTATGCACATGTGGTGTAACAATTTGGCTGTTATCGTCATTGCTAATAATCCAGTGTTTCATGAATGCACCAAGCATATTGAGGTTGACTGCCACTTCATTCGGGATTTATTATTGTAGAAGTAGTTTGTGACTCCCTATGTTTGCTCTAATGATCAGCTGGGTGATATTCTTACTAAGCCGTTGGCTCGCCCTTCCTTTGACCGCCTATTTGCCAAGCTGGGCATGTTCAATCTCTATGCTCCAGCTTGCGGTGGAGTGTTAGAATAGTCGTGTGTGTTTCGTGTAATTTAATTCTGTATTGAGGGGCACTATTGTCATATTGCTATATTATGTTTAATTAATATAAATAAACATTGAGGTATAGGGTTGATTTGAAAAAAACTTGAAACCTATTGGCCGTATTCTTCTTTCTTCTCTCTCTCTCTCTAACCCTAATTTCTACATAGTTTATACTTTAACTCCCAATAATGGTTTTACTTTTATAGGAGATGAAAGGACTAATAAAATGTTGCAAAATAAAATTCCTCAAGCAAGCCTTTTTTTCCTTTAAATCATCCAAATTGTTGGGCTGCTGAGGTGATAGCAGTTGTCAGTCAGGAGAGAGATTATCTGAGTCCAGATTCCTCCATTTCTCTTATTATTTTCTTTCCTCATCGAATGATAATTTTTCTTTTAATGTGTTAACATTTTCTCGTCCTTTATCTCTTCTCCCTAAATGGAAGAATCTTTGTATTGCAATTAGAACATGTTTTGTGTCATAGCATTTTTCTTTTAACTTATGATTGTAAATTGTTACCCATTGTGGTTATCTAATGTTTCCCTTCCTTTATTTCCAGATACTGTGAACAGCTCATCCAATTTACATTGTTTTTATCCTTTGGTGGTATGCAGGTTTCATCATTTGCTGATATGGAAGGAGAGGAAACATTTGATTCATCACTTCTTGGACATGCAGATGAAGTAGTTGAGGAGTGCATTGCTGATGATGACGTGATCATGATAAATGGGACAAAAAACTCAAGTGCAGTACGTCATTTGTTTTATTCACAATGTTGAAATTTGACTGCTCAACTGTGGAGCTGGTTTACTTTAAATCGTTGTTGACTACTTGTATCTGTTGGGCCATGGCGTTGTTACAAAAAAACAAAATTTTGATAACTGGATGTCCGGACCAGTTTACGCACACCTCGACTAATCCCGGGAGACTAATCCCACACCACCCCCTTGTGGGGCTCCCATTTAAAGCCAAGACAATTGCCCTATATAGACATGGCCCCGAGGAGCTTATTGCTGCTAGTGGGTATTGAGCATGAGACCTAGTGGGAGCACACCTCTAGGCCACTAGTTTTTCCCACTAGGCCAACCCTTTGAGGTTCATGGCATTGTTACAAATACTGTAGTGCTTTCATTTGGCTCATCTCTATTGAACTTGTTTTAAAACAATATTGAACGAAATTGATATGATCAGTATGAAGGTGTATAACTAGACTGTAGTTTAGAATTTATTACTAGTTCAAGTATGGTCACTTATGTTATTCTCGGATTTTTCTTCGTATGTTTTCTCCAGGTTTCATTAATACTCGGGTGCAAATGACTATATGCTTGACGAAATGGAGAGAGCTTTGCATGATTCCTTGTGCATTACCAAGAGGACCCTGGAATCCAATACTGTAAGCCTCAGCAATTGATGACCATGTCTTCTTTTTTTTCATGTTTTGTAAGATTCAAAAAATTCATTTTTAAGTTTGCATGCTGTTGTATACCTTAAGTATAGTATTATCTTGCTGCTTGAGGAGAATTCAAGATGTCAGTTATCCAAAATAATGTTGGACTGCAATTCTTTTTTTTCCCTGAGCATGTTGCACCAGCTTCATTTTCAACCTTTTTTAATCTTCATGTAAGCTTGAGCTTATTGATTAATACTGTAATACCAAAAGGGGCCTTTTAACTGATGTCATTAAAATATTAATCTTTTGACTATTGTAAAGTTAAAACTTTTGCTCACTTCGATTAGATGAGAAACAATATAAATTCATTTCAATTTGAAATGTCAAGCATATATGTTTTATGAAATGATTAGTGGTCTCATTTATGCTATGTCCTGCATTGTGTCCATGTGTGTTTATTGAGCTTTCTTCACTTGGGGATTGGGGTACATTGCACCTGCAGGAGCTTGATATTCAGATCTGATGGTTTTGTTATTAAATTGGTCTCTCGATCTTTACGATCATTCTCTGCACGGTGTCATAATTTTGAGAATCCCCCGGCTCCTCCTTTTCTAATGGAAGTACGAGAAAGGAAAAATAGCTTCCAGCAAGGTTTTTAGTAGCAACTATAATTGTTATCCTGCCCAACTGTCTATCTTACTGTCGTGAATCGTGGCAAAACAGGTTGTTGCAGGTGGAGGTGCAGTTGAGGCTGCCTTATCTGTCTATTTGGAGTATCTTGCCACAACATTAGGATCTCGGGAGCAGCTGGCAATTGCAGAATTTGCTGAATCTTTGTTAATCATACCAAAGGCTCTGAAAATGTGATGAGTTGATTATATTTTCTCCATTACTCCATTACTCCCATCCTTTTACTTAGTGAATTTTTATGCAGTCATTACTCTTTAGTGACATTCATCTAGTGCAGATTCTAGCTGTCAATGCTGCAAAGGATGCAACTGAATTAGTTGCTAAACTACGTGTTTATCACCACACTGCACAAACGAAGCCAGATAAAAAGCATCTGTCTAGGTATTTGGATTCTCTTCTTTTGTACATCCCATGTCCAGTTCTATTTGCTTTACTTGGGAGAAGCTTTGGGATCCACTCTGACACTCTGTTTATTTCGGTGGAAAACATTTTCTGGAAAATATTTTTCGCATTTTTGGTGTTTTTTTTTTGGCAAGAGCATTTTTGGTGTTAGTGCGACAGAAAATAAAAGTCAATGAAAAATGCTTTATGTGGTCCATGGAAATCAAGCCTGCTCAGGTGGAAAACGTTTTATGGACTAAAGTGTTACCAATGCCACCACACTACCACTGCTACCATCACCGTTGTCGCCACCCCGCCACCTCCACCTCCACCTCACCACAACCTCTGCCCCTCTCTGCCATGACCCACTGCTAATACAACCATTAGTACATTCGTTTCAAGGACACATTCAAGCATATAAATATGTTTTCCATCGAATCAAACGGGGCATGAACCTGATAGAAAATTTACCATGGTTGAAGGTGTCATGCCCTTTCCCATACCGTACTAGCCTCTATTTACCTAGTGTCAGGGTCTATGTAGGCATACAGTGATTCTTGTCATTTACTATTGGGCGGATGCTACTCTTGCTTCATGATGTGTTTGTTTGCAATGTTGTGCCACGTGACCAATTTAATTCACTGATCTATGTAGGATTGGATACTAAAAAAGAAAAATCTCGAGGAAGACCAATACTTGTATAAACATAAATGAATAAAAATGGCTGCGAAATCTTCATTGTTCCTGAGCATCAAAGTTCTCTCACCTTTTTTGCGTCTCTATTCTAAGTACTTTTGGTTGGCTTCTTTTACTAAATAATAAAAAAAATTAAAAGCACAGCATGGGAGTAGATCTTTTGAAGGGAACTGTCCGTAACAATCTACAAGCTGGAGTCATTGAGCCTGCAATGAGCAAAGTGAAGATAATACAGGTAAAAAAGTTTTTTGTTTATGCATATCCATGTTTGGAGGACAGTAGACATTGTTACCTGAATTCTGATGAAAATTTTCTTTCAAAATAGCTTGGTCAAAGTTGTTTCCAGAATGTCTTTTGTTTTCCAGTTTGCGACTGAAGCTGCTATAACAATTCTCCGAATTGATGACACGATCAAGCTTCTCAAAGACGAAAGTCAAAATGGCGAGGATTAGGTTCTGCCTATATTGAGACTCTGTTGTTCTAGTCCCTGGTTGAACCACGGTTGTTTGATGACGAGTGGGAGTTGCAATGCAATGAATTTTGTTAATATGTGTTGCCGTGGTTTTCCTCGTGCGTTGATGGATAATCCTTTTTTTCTTTTTTGCTTTTTAAAGGAAAATGTTTTGTCTAGTTTTGTTTGGTATAGAGTGTTCTCTTTTCTTTAGATTTTGAGTTGGGGCTAACATGAAGACTTGATATACTATAATTGTCCAAAAATGTTTATGATGTTCTGCACTTGTGATTACAATGGAAAATGGGAAGAAAATCTCACCTTCTATCATTGCAATAAACAATTACAATTTTATTTATTTTTTGGAGCTTATTGTAAATACATAGTGAGTGTAATACATGTAACACGGTCAACTCATTCAAATGCTATGTGAGATATGTATGGTGATTTATTATCATTCTGTCATCTAAGATCTGTTTTTCACATTACAAAGGATTATTTGTATGGATATAATTATATCAATCTCCTCTAATCAGGGGCCGAGCCAGGATTTTGGCTCAAAATGGGCACCTTTGAATTAAAATCTTAACAAAAATCGTAATTTAACTTGATTTTTATTTGATAGTAGGATTAAAAATTAGTGCGACACAAAAGTTATATTTAAATATAAGGTCAAGTTAACTAATCATTATTTTTATTGTTATTAATTTATTTTATATATGATAATCATTACAGTTTAAAAAATAATTACATATACTCTTATAAAATACAAAAATAAAATTATATTAAGATGCACACACATAAAGAGATATAGTGACGATAGAGAAAGAAATGAGAAAAAGATGAATAAATAATATAGAAAGGGTAGAGTTGGTTCAGACAATGAGAAAAAGTGCTTGCGTGCAGGAGGGGCCTTCACTGTGAGAAAGAATAGTGGGTTGGCATAGGGTGCCTTCTTGGATAATAGCTTCAATGTTGGCATACACGAAGGGCTTAAGTGTGAGACAGAAGAGATAGGCTTTAGCGCGAAATAGAAGAAATGGTTTACAGAGTGTCTTATTGAGTCACGACTTTAGTAGACTCAAGTGCAAGAGAGAAATGAGGGTTTGTAGAAAGTGTTTTCTTGGGTCACGACTTCAAGGTCCTTGTACATGAAAATGAGTGATAAGCATCAGAGTGTATCTCTTGGGGTCACAGTTCCAATGCTTTGAAACACAAAACCACGACATTTTAATAAAGAAAAATGATTAGTGATAAAATATTTTTGTATCCTTCAATACCAGAACAAAGAATTTATTATTGGTGATGAAATATTTTTGTCTTCCACAACTTAACCTTATAAGACGAAAAATATATTCGTCACACAATCAATTAGAATTTATTAGTGCCGAAATATTTTCGTCTCCCACAACTTATTCATCTGAAACAAAAATATATTTGTCACCTATTTAATAGAAAGATGAAATGACATTGCCTGCATGATGGAGTGTTTATTGGTGTCGAAATATTTTCGTCTTCCATAACTTATCCGTCGCAGACAAAAATATATTTGTCACCTAATAAATGGAAATATGCAACGACATCGTTTAATAGGTATGGAATTTATTGGCGACGAATTACGTTCGTCACAAAAAAAATTATATTTTGTGACAAAAATGTTTGTCTCCAATGAGCTAAAATAATTCGTGCCAATGCAAATAAAATTGGCGCCTCATTTTTGCACACGAAATTTTGTTTTCGTCTCCTATGCTTTTGAGAAAAATTAAAACAAACGAAAAAATTAATATTTCGTCATCTTTGGGTTAAATTTTAAGACAAAAAAAATTTCGTCACCAAATTTTGTCACAATAGCCTAAATTTCTTATATTTTTTATTGATTTTAAACATTTGGTGACGAAATTTAGTTTTCCTCTCCAAAAATAATACATTTGGAGACGAAATTATTTCCTCTCTAAAATTTTTTACAATGGTGACGACAAATTTCGTCTCCAAAATGGCGCCAAATCTTCCACCAAATTTTCTAAGGGCGGGAAATTGTTTTGTGATGAAAAATAAAATTTAGAGACGAATAAAATTTTCGTCACCTATTGTTTTATTTGATTTTAAGCATTTGGTGATGAAATTTGGTTTTCTTCTCTGAAAATAATATAATTGGAGGCGAAATCTTATTTTCATCATTAAAACATGCATATTTTGAGACTAAATATTTTTTCGTCACGCGTTTTCGTCACCATAGACCTTTTTTGTTATAGTGGATACTGTGAACAGCTCATCCAATGTACATTGTTTTTATCCTTTGGTGGTATGCAGGTTTCATCATTTGCTGATATGGAAGGAGAGGAAACATTTGATTCATCACTTCTTGGTCATGCAGATGAAGTAGTTGAGGAGCGCATTACTGATGATGACGTGATCATGATAAAAGGGACAAAAAAACTCAAATGCGGTATGTCATTTGTTTTATTCACAATGTTGAAATTTGACTGCTCAACTGTGGAGCTGGTTTACTTTAAATCGTTGTTGACTACTTGTAGCTGTTGGACCATGCATGGCATTGTTACAAAAAAACAAAATTTTGATAACTGGGTGTCCGGACCAGCTTACGCACACCTCGACTAATCCCGGGAGACTAATCCCACACCGCCCACTTGTGGGGCTCCCATTTAAAGCCAGGACAATTGCCCTGTATGGACATGGCCCCGGGGAGCTTATTGCTGCTAGTGGGTATTGAGCCTGAGACCTAGTGAGAGCACACCTCTAGGCCACAAGTTTTTCCCACTAGGCCAACCCTTTGAGGTTCATGGCATTGTTACAAATACTGTAGCGCTTTCATTTGGCTCATCTCTATTGAACTTGTTTTAAAACAATATTGAACGAAATTGATATGATCAGTATGAAGGTGTATAACTAGACTGTAGTTTAGAATTTATTACTAGTTCAAGTATGGTCACTTATGTTATTCTCGGATTTTTCTTCGTATGTTTTCTCCAGGTTTCATTAATACTCGGGTGCAAATGACTATATGCTTGACGAAATGGAGAGAGCTTTGCATGATTCCTTGTGCATTACCAAGAGGACCCTGGAATCCAATACTGTAAGCCTCAGCAATTGATGACCATGTCTTCTTTTTTTTCATGTTTTGTAAGATTCAAAAAATTCATTTTTAAGTTTGCATGCTGTTGTATACCTTAAGTATAGTATTATCTTGCTGCTTGAGGAGAATTCAAGATGTCAGTTATCCAAAATAATGTTGGACTGCAATTCTTTTTTTTCCCTGAGCATGTTGCACCAGCTTCATTTTCAACCTTTTTTAATCTTCATGTAAGCTTGAGCTTATTGATTAATACTATAATACCAAAAGGGGCCTTTTAACTGATGTCATTAAAATATTAATCTTTTAACTATTGTAAAGTTAAAACTTTTGCTCACTTCGATTAGATGAGAAACAATATAAATTCATTTCAATTTGAAATGTCAAGCATATATGTTTTATGAAATGATTAGTGGTCTCATTTATGCTATGTCCTGCATTGTGTCCATGTGTGTTTATTGAGCTTTCTTCACTTGGGGATTGGGGTACATTGCACCTGCAGGAGCTTGATATTCAGATCTGATGGTTTTGTTATTAAATTGGTCTCTCGATCTTTACGATCATTCTCTGCACGGTGTCATAATTTTGAGAATCCCCCGGCTCCTCCTTTTCTAATGGAAGTACGAGAAAGGAAAAATAGCTTCCAGCAAGGTTTTTAGTAGCAACTATAATTGTTATCCTGCCCAACTGTCTATCTTACTGTCGTGAATCATGGCAAAACAGGTGGTTGCAGGTGGAGGTGCAGTTGAGGCTGCCTTATCTGTCTATTTGGAGTATCTTGCCACAACATTAGGATCTCGGGAGCAGCTGGCAATTGCAGAATTTGCTGAATCTTTGTTAATCATACCAAAGGTTCTGAAAATGTGATGAGTTGATTATATTTTCTCCATTACTCCCATCCTTTTACTTAGTGAATTTTTATGCAGTCATTACTCTTTAGTGACATTCATCTAGTGCAGATTCTAGCTGTCAATGCTGCAAAGGATGCAACTGAATTAGTTGCTAAACTACGTGTTTATCACCACACTGCACAAACGAAGCCAGATAAAAAGCATCTGTCTAGGTATTTGGATTCTCTTCTTTTGTACATCCCATGTCCAGTTCTATTTGCTTTACTTGGGAGAAGCTTTGGAATCCACTCTGACACTCTGTTTATTTCGGTGGAAAACATTTTCTGGAAAATATTTTTCGCATTTTTGGTGTTTTTTTTTGGCAAGAGCATTTTTGGTGTTAGTGCGACAGAAAACGAAAGTCAATGAAAAATGCTTTATGTGGTCCATGGAAATCAAGCCTGCTCAGGTGGAAAACGTTTTATGGACTAAAGTGTTACCAATGCCACCACACTACCACTGCTACCATCACCGTTGTCGCCACCCCGCCACCTCCACCTCCACCTCACCACAACCTCTGCCCCTCTCTGCCATGACCCACTGCTAATACAACCATTAGTACATTCGTTTCAAGGACACATTCAAGCATATAAATATGTTTTCCATCGAATCAAACGGGGCATGAACCTGATAGAAAATTTACCATGGTTGAAGGTGTCATGCCCTTTCCCATACCGTACTAGCGTCTATTTACCTAGTGTCAGGGTCTATGTAGGCATACAGTGATTCTTGTCATTTACTATTGGGTGGATGCTACTCTTGCTTCATGATGTGTTTGTTTGCAATGTTGTGCCACGTGACCAATTTAATTCACTGATCTATGTAGGATTGGATACTAAAAAAGAAAAATCTCGAGGAAGACCAATACTTGTATAAACATAAATGAATAAAAATGGCTGCGAAATCTTCATTGTTCCTGAGCATCAAAGTTCTCTCACCTTTTTTGCGTCTCTATTCTAAGTACTTTTGGTTGGCTTCTTTTACTAAATAATAAAAAAAATTAAAAGCACAGCATGGGAGTAGATCTTTTGAAGGGAACTGTCCGTAACAATCTAGAAGCTGGAGTCATTGAGCCTGCAATGAGCAAAGTGAAGATAAAAAAGTTATTTGTTTATGCATATCCATGTTTGGAGGACAGTAGACATTGTTACCTGAATTCTGATGAAAATTTTCTTTCAAAATAGCTTGGTCAAAGTTGTTTCCAGAATGTCTTTTGTTTTCCAGTTTGCGACTGAAGCCGCTATAACAATTCTCCGAATTGATGACATGATCAAGCTTCTCAAAGACGAAAGTCAAAATGGCGAGGATTAGGTTCTGCCTATATTGAGACTCTGTTGTTCTAGTCCCTGGTTGAACCACGGTTGTTTGATGACGAGTGGGAGTTGCAATGCAATGAATTTTGTTAATATGTATTGACGTGGTTTTCCTCGTTCGTTGATGGATAATCCTTTTTTTCTTTTTTGCTTTTTAAAGGAAAATGTTTTGTCTAGTTTTGTTTGGTTTAGAGTGTTCTCTTTTCTTTAGATTTTTAGTTGGGGATAACATGAAGACTTGATATACTATAATTGTCCAAAAATGTTTATGATGTTCTGCACTTGTGATTACAATGGAAAATGGGAAGAAAATCTCACCTTCTATCATTGCAATAAACAATTACAATTTTATTTATTTTTTGGAGCTTATTGTAAATACATAGTGAGTGTAATACATGTAACACGGTCAACTCATTCAAATGCTATGTGAGATATGTATGGTGATTTATTATCATTCTGTCATCTAAGATCTGTTTTTCACATTACAAAGGATTATTTGTATGGATATAATTATATCAATCTCCTCTAATCAGGGGCCGAGCCAGGATTTTGGCTCAAAATGGGCACCTTTGAATTAAAATCTTAACAAAAATCGTAATTTAACTTGATTTTTATTTGATGGTAAGATTAAAAATTAATGCGACACAAGTTATATTTAAATATAAGGTCAAGTTAACTAATCATTATTTTTATTGTTATTAATTTATTTTATATATGATAATCATTACAGTTTAAAAAATAATTACATATACTCTTATAAAATACAAAAATAAAATTATATTAAGATGCACACACATAAAGAGATATAGTGACGATAGAGAAAGAAATGAGAAAAAGATGAATAAATAATATACAGAGACTATTATATATTACTTGTTTTTTTCACCATTTTGAATAATTGAATTACATGACAATATACTATTAGTTGTCATTAATTGTGTAATAATTATGTGTTGTATAAGATGTGATATAAAATAGTGACAAAATATCAGTACTATATAACATTTCTCTATTATAAAATTTATAAGAATTTTTTTTAGCATAATTAAACATTTAAAGTGATAAATTAAACATTTTTTTTTTATATAAAAAAGTAAAGAAAATAGTGATATAAAAATTTCAAGATATTACTTGAAAGGATTAAATTGAAATATATAGTTTTATTAGAGACAAAAAAATAATTTTCCAAAAGTTGAGGAGGTCACATGACCCCTCTGAGCCTCACGTGACTCCGCCCTTGCATATAAAAAACCTTTTTGTCCTGTAACAAATTTAAGGAGTTTAGATTGTCAGAACCCTTTCATCTTAGTAGAAAATCAAGAGTTAAAGTTTTATACAAGTAAAATTCATTCTCCCAAACTACAACCTCTAAAACCAAAAAAAAAAAAAAACCACTTAGCTTGTGAATGACAAGGGAGAACATATATGATTAGGCTGGGTTGCGTGAAGTTGCACATATCTAACACTTACCAACCAAATCCCCCTTGGTGACAAAAGTCACATTGCCATAGAGAAAGAATTGAGAAAAAGATGAATAAATAATATAAAGAGACTATTATATATTACTTGTTTTTTTCACCATTTTGAATAATTGAATTACATGACAATATATTATTTGTTGTCATTAATTGTGTAATAATTATGTGTTGTATAAGATGTGATATAAAATAGTGACAAAATATCAGTAATATATTACATTTCTCTATTATAAAATTTATAAGAATTTTTTTTAGCATAATTAAACATTTAAAGTGATAAATTAAACATTTTTTTTTATAAAAAAAAAGTAAAGAAATTTGTGATATAAAAATTTTAAGATATTACTTGGATTAAATTAAAATATATATTTTTATTAGAGGCAAAAAAATAATTTTTCAAAAGTTGGGGACACATGAACCCTCAGGGCCTCATGTGCCTCCGTCCTTGCCTCTAATGATGGGAAATTATTTTTTTGCTTTTTTTCTTTCATCTCTTCCAAAAAAAATATATATATATATAATTATTTTTCACCCTCTCTCTTTCAGTAAGAAGAAAACCTCTTACTACTTGAATCCAACACTCGTGGCATCCCTCACACTCTTTGAGGTTAGCTTTTGTTTTAATTTTCAATCCTTAATGAGTTTGCTTTTGCTTCAACTTCCTCATGCAATGCTAGTATATTCTGTTTTTTTAGTATTATTATTTTTTTTAATTCATTTATATACAGTTTTTGGGCTTGTGAATATTCATATATATTACAATCAATAGATCTTCTTTCATGTTAGATCCGTGAACGAATTAAGAGTGTATCCAAAAAAATATATTTCTTGACACTATGGTCTCTTTTGGGATAGAGGTTAAAAATAATTTTTTGGTTTTTAATCTCTTTTGAGTCATATTATTTCTTTATTTTTTTTACACTTTTTTTCAAAAAAAAAGTAAAAAATTATAGTTTTTAACCTACTTTTCAAAGCAACCCATAATGTTGAATTGTCCAAATATTTTCTTATTGTTGAATTACAGGCAGAAGGTAAACTATAACAGATTTAGGTATGGTATGGGAGTACAAATATATATATATGGCGGTGCAAATTTATATAATTTTTTAATATAATATATGATATTTTAAAATTTTTGGAAGCGCGGTCATTCCATCCGCACCTTCCTAGATCCATATTGGCTATGTATTTTCTCATAAAAATAAGAAATCTTCCTTTTCTATGTTTAATTTTTTTAGGCATGTACCCTTTGAAGAAAATGGAAAATAATATGCCGAAATAGAGAAAATATAGATGAAAGGTTTATGTTGGGGGATACAAAACTCTTTTAGAAAGATGATTTTTGATGTATTTTAAATGGACAACAAAAGCTCCACAATAGAAGGATAGAGGCCATTAAGGCCCCACACCAGGACATCAAGCATATAACATGTAGTTCCTCCTATATGTCGAACTTTTTTATTTTTGTGTGGTATTGTCATTAAAATATTTTATTATGATGGTTTTCATTATTTTTATATTTTATTTTTTTCGTATATAGTTTTTGTTTGTCATATTGGGTTAAGAGGCTAAAAGGTTAAAATAATTATATAAAGATAAAATAGGTTAAAAAATCAATAAAATAAACTGTCACGTTTAAATCATAATCATTTCACTTTTTCTCTTATAAAGTCAATAAAACCAAAAAACTCAACCTAAACACGACTTTTTAACTCATATTAAAATAGCCAAAAAGCCAACCCAAATAGGCCATACACAGGTATATATGTACAATTTATTATGTAAAAAAAAAACATAAGAGATGAAATAACTGGTGACAATTATCATTTTCCTTTTGCATCTTTATAATAACACAAGGCATCTCAAATGAAGTAGTACTCAAGCTATGGGCATATATTTTCTGAGTCCCAACACGTGGCTAAAGTGACGCCGACGTGTCAGCCGAGGTGCCACGTGTCCAGGTTATGACGCCAAGGTGATCTCGGCAAGGCCGAGGTTATCTCTGAAGATATCGGAATCCGAGATAAGTGGATAAGGGATAAGAGTCATTGAATGAGGAAGGACTTTAGCATGGATAAGGATAACACTCTTAGGGAGTTTATCTTTATCTCTTGAAGAGTCCAGGATAAGCACAGAGCAGAAGTCCACTGAAGCTAGGCTTCTATGGGGACTAGGATTGAGGTAACTATAAAAGAAAGGCACCCTCGATGGGTCAAAGGTACGCAATTTATATTCTGAACAGTGAGTTTAGCACTATTGATTATCTTTGAGAGATATACTGACTTGATCGTCGGAGTGCCCCCGGGTGGACGAACCACCGTCGGAATCTTTTCCTTCTGTTGCAGGTCAGACAGGTGTCATCTATTCTGCCAGTGCTCTCCAGCTGAAATACTAAGTTGGCAGTGTGGTCGAAAAATCACTCACACAATTTGGCGCCGTCTGTGGGAAAGAAAGGAGAATAAATGGCCAGTGACGGACAGAAGGATAAGGTTGGGAACGAAATCCCTGTTGGGAGTAGAAAACACGTTGACTCAAACATGGAAGAAGACGGTCGCAATGAGGAGACTCAGAACCAGAATCACGGCAAGAAAGACGTCGGCCAGGGTGGCGACGTGCCAAAGAAACCAGATCGAAGCGGATACTACAACGAGGACGACCTCAAGGTATGGAAGGATAAATGCCTGCGGATGGACGAAGAGGTGAAAGAGATAGCAAACAAGTTGGCAAACCTAGAATCAGTCGTCAACTTTATGATGCAAAGTAATGTCATGCAGGCACCATACCCGCTGCAGGACACGCCGATTCCAGCGGTCAATACCTAAAAGGGAGGACAGAAGCCAATCCCAATAGCCCCTCAGCACACCAGAAGCGAAAAGCACTCTCACCAGCCTTCCAGGGAGGTCGGGCGAGGAGAGTCAAGGAAAGAAGAGTCACGAAGGACACATCGCACTAAAGAAGCAGACCCAAGAGAACATCGGCATGTTCAAAGGCAGGAGTTGTGCTTTGACACAACTTATGGAGAAAGGTCGAAAAGGGCCCACAACGAAGCTGAGAGTAGTATGCCGAAAAAACTGAAGTCGGGAAATAGCCGAGCTCCTGGGCGGAGCAAGGAAGACCTGAGAGATTACCTCAAGAGGAAACAACATAATGCCGATGCCGAAGTAACTTCACCTGTTAAGCCGAGAACACCCTTCTCGGTAGAATTGGACAAATTTGAGGCGCCGAAGAGATTTAGTATGCCGAGGTTCCAAATTTACGATGGTAAGTCAGACCCCAACTTTCACGTTGGATTATACTTGAACTCGATGGCATTATATAGTGGGAACGAGCCGTTGCTCTGCAAAGTGTTCCCCTCATCGTTCGGGAAAATTGCATCTGATTGGTTTCATAAACTACCGAAGGAAAGCGTGAAGACCTGGGAAGGCCTGGCCGAGATGTTCGTGGCCAGGTTCGTGACAAACAAACTGCAGCCATTGAGGGTGGATGCATTGATGGCCCTAAAGATCAGCAAGGATGAAGGCCTTAGGGCCTATGCAAAAAAGTACTATGAGGTGTTCAACCGAATACCAGAGTGTAATCAAGAGGTAGCGGTCGTATCTTTCAAGAACGACCTAAAAGACGACTGTCCACTACGAAAATCTTTGGCAAAGACATTGCCAAAAAGTATGGAAGAGTTCATGGCGAGAATCGAGAAGTTTGCCAGAGCCGAGGAAGATACATCGGGGACTAAAGAGGCAAAGTAAGAGAAAGGAAACGGCTCGCCGAAGTGAGGTCGAGGTAACAATGGATCGAGCAAGCAAGAGACAGAACTGAGGGCTACACAGACAATGACAACTGTGTTCCGAATCCCAATTCACAAAGTCCTGGACCAAATTCGGAATCAACCCTATTTCAAAACACCAGCAAGGGCACCAGGAGAG